CCTGAATAGAAGAATCACGTCTTCTGAAACTTTCAGTTACAGTCACGTTGCATAACTAATAATACACACACATTCCACTTGCATTAAGACTTTCGTATGTATATACAGGAGAGGGACAATTAGACAAGGAGCAAAAGAACTGTAAGTTTTGTATTCATGAATATCTTAATTTTCTGGTGTAGGTGACATAACCAGCGTTCATACACAATTAAAAAGTTGGGGAGATTCCATACAAAGTTGTATGAGTGTACATAGATTTAGAAAATGATTGACCATTAACAACGTGTCATAAATTTCGTCCAAACACACCAATATCGTTCAAGTGTTTTTTCATTATTTCAGCAAACGACATATAACAGCTCTTAACTATACTCTTCCAAAAAAGAAACTTGACATAGGACAAATTTGAATTTTAGGAAATTATTTGAACTAAACCAATCCATGCTGAATCCCAGCATGTGGGGGAATGGTTGCCGACGACAAAACGTTTGAAAAAAGAAACGTTTAACAAAAACGTAACGTTACACTCACGTCTGTAGTGAATCGCTAAAACGCACCCTACATAAAATGCACGATCATCATGCAATTGTGTATCGACCTGAGCTGAAGTCTACAAGGACGGACATCGCAGCATGATGTGGCAAGGCATTTCAGCGTGTCCAGACAGACCATCTCAAACCTATGGACCCGATACAAAAATACTGTGGGTGTTCATGACAGACCCAGGTCAGGTCGACTTGGAATTCCCACGCCGCCCAGGATCGCCACATCCAGTTGAGACATTTTCGTTCAAACACCACGGCCGCATCATCCACAACAATCCAAATCCCTGGACTGCGCCGAATCTCCGACCAGACAGTGCCCAATTGGCTAAGGAAAGCCAGACTTTTGCCAGAAGACCAATTCAAGTCGTTCCCTACATCAACGTCAACGGTGGATCTTTGAAGCATGACAATGCTCGACCTCACGTTGCACGTGTTTGACAGGTCTTCCTCCAGCAATGTTCAGTTGTTACCTTGGCCTTCTCCATCACCGGATTTGTCCCCCATTGAACATCTATGGGATACTCTTGATCGACGCTTGCGCCAGCGTAATCCGCCACCTCAGACATTACAAGAACTGCACACAGCACGTCAGTAAGAGTATCAAAACATTCCTCAAGACAGCATTCGGCATCTCCTTTCTTCTATGGGTCACCGCTGCCAAGCTGTTATCGATGTTCATGGTGGTCACACCAGATACTGACATTTTACTCTGACCAAGTGGCTTTAATAGTCCACTGTGGTTTTACCAAAAACTTTCTGGATAATCATGTTTTGGAAATTTGTAAAGTGATGATTTTACTGTAACTGAGCGATGATGTCATGTTTGAATCAGTTATATTCACTCAGTAAGTAAACTCCAAAACACCATGTCAAGTTTCTTGTTTTGAAGAGTATATATTAATAGACACTCCAAACAAAAGCAATGTATAATCTTTTCAAACTTTTCATTTCGTGCCTTCAGGCTATCAAACACGTATCTTGCAAACATCCACTTTTAGTGGAAATAATCGAGTTTAAAAACGATCTTGCTACTGCCAATATGATATCGTCTTCTGTTGGTTTCCCAGCCATGTTGGAATTACTGGTTACACAATGGCCGCTTCTGCTGCTGTAATACCACTTCTCATACCATACTCTGATTACAAATCCGTCATTAGATTTTATATCCGTGATCTAATACAAACGAAGTGGGACACCCAAGTAGCTATCGATAAATAACATCAAATAATACCAACTATCGGTTACACCTACTTGGGTTGTCAGTCCAGATTTGAAGAGGTTGTTATGCCACGATGTCGCATTGACCGTAAAAGATTCACTCATGAATATTTCTTGAAAGGTGAGGGTCAAATATGTCCTGCTTGAATATGTTGATTTTTCCATTCCAAGGGATAAATATTTCAGTGTAAAACAGTGAAGGATGTTCTTGGTAATATTAATGATCTTTTGATTATTGATTTTTAAAAGAAATATAACTAGTGGAACATTATTATTGTTTATGTATTGTAGATAGGTGTATTGTGTTCAAAACTGGAAGTTTACATTACTTACTCAGATTGTTAGTGGCTGTATCCTCAAAAGGGGTTAAAGTGTAGTAAAACTATTGTCCCCTGATAAGGTACATAACTCCCTAAATCATATATATACACCTAAAACTATCCATAAAACAATATTTCTGTCTTCAACAATACAGCATAAAAATGGGCTACAGGTCGCCAACAACTGAAGGTAGATCACCATACTAGTAACCATGGGGACGTATAGAACCTTTGCTACCTGCATGGACTCTAAATGGATGTACACCATCCCTTCAGATGTTAACGATTCTGACAACTTTAGCCATGAATTAAATGAATACATATCCTACGATTAAATCATGATACTAATATATGTACTTTGAATGACGTGGTCTTACGTACTAATTGCTAAAGTCGTACGAATTGCTAAAGTCGATGTGTGTTAACTACAATTTAGGTATACTGACGGGCAAAAGAAACTTTCCGCTCGTTCAATTGATCTCACTAAAAACATGGGTCGACATGGGGTCAAACGAGAGAATTCACTATCAGTGGGTCCATTCGAGAAACACAACAAAGCATGAACAGAAGTCTCTAATAGCGAGTATGTCCACCTCTGGCTAGAATACATGCAAACGCACGTCTTCTGACTGAAGTTGTGAGGCGTCTGATGACGCCAGCTGGGATATACCTCCATTCTTCAACAAGGGCTTGAGTCATTTGCTGTACTGTAACTGGTGGATTCTGTCTCCGTCGAATAACTCTATCAAGGTGGTCCTTCGACTCACTGGGTGACCGAGTGCTGTTGACGCTGATGACGTTACCGTCAGGAAACGGTTACTAAGGTGTAATGTCCTCAGGTGGCGGTCTTTCTGCGCAGTTGTCACCCGGGATCTGCCTGTCCGGGGCCTGTCTGAGGTCTGACCAGTCTGTTGGTAACGCCGACGAAGATTCCTGACGGTCACGACGGAGCAATTGAGGGTTCATGCAACGCGACCCGGTATAGCGTCCATTTGCAGCATTCCGATGGCCCTCTCTCGCTCTGCTGAAGTTAACCTCGGCATTGTAAAGTGGTTTTGCTGAAGTACGATCTGCTCTGTACTGTGAGGAAGGTTTATACCATGCATGCACGTTCATTTTACCCTTACTTGCAAAACACGTGCATTTTGTTGTTTTCGATGCAAAGTTGTCAAGAGGTGCGTTTGAGCGCTGCTGTTTGTCAGAATCGAACTCTTGTTGCATTAACTTGGCGATAACTATGGTATGCAATTTTGCATTTGATTATATTTTCTTATGTTAATATTTTGAAGAATTTTGCAACAGAAAGTTTCTTTTGCCCATCAGTATATATAGGTTATCACAAAGTCACACCTAATAAGGGTAACATAGAATGTCATCTTCTAGGTGCGTGCTTTAGCACAGATGATACACCTGTCCTGTGTGACTTTGAATAACAATCTCATTGCATGACTATTAAAACGACCTCACACAGCCTCTCTTCAGTGCGGCTTTTGTCTGTAGATGCAGGAGGGGGAAGAAAATTACTTGAAGTAGTTAAACCGTAAGTATAAAGACCGAGCATTGCTAATCAGCAGGTTTGCAGCTAATCTAATTTGCAGAAAATGTCTTTTGTTTTATAATAAACAAAGGAAATCAAAAGTGATGTTAAAAATCAGTAAAATATCACATTCAAGGATACAAAACTGTCCTTCCAGATATAAATTCTATATTTTTTTCATATATTAATTAATGTTCAGATATAAAGGTTCAGATAAAGGAGGAACATCATCACAAAACGTTGTATTATATGTGAAACATCAACACATTCTAGCAAAATATGCTTGATATTGATGGGTCTATGACAAAGGATGCAATGGGTTAGATCTTCTCCTTGTAATGACATGGAATGTGTGTAATAACTATGCCCTACACGACATCGCCGTTTGTAAATATTCTATGAATATCTTACTTATTTGCAGGACGTTTATCAATATTATAGCACCATAGAAAATGGGTCAACGACTCGGCATTTTTAGGTCCAAACTTTATGCTTCAAGGTATGACTTGGTTCCAGTTTGTTTGTGGTGAATTGGGATTTAATACACAATGCATGATTCATTTTAACTAAAATGTTTCCATTACTGTGTCTGTAAATTGTTTCACTTCTACTACCGTCAGCGTGTATGTTTATATTAGGGCTGTTCTTAGTGTCATAAAATAATTGTATATAGAACTAGAATTTCAGGGTTCCTTTAGATTTAGTGTTTGGCCTGGAGCTGGAAAACTATTTTTCCTTTTGAAAATATGGTCTTTTCACGTCCCTATTATGGCGGCCTCTTTGCTGGCCAAATTGTATATCGTATCGTTATTAATGTTATTAATCTAGTTTTATCATATCGTATTATATACTAAAGCGTTTTATACTATATCGTATTGTTATAAAGCGGCGTAAAACCAAACTCAGTCAGTTATACTATATACTAGTTTTAAACCTTTATCTGTATTTTCTACTTCTTTCTCTTAGTTGACAAGACTTTATTGTCATGTGATAAATAACTTGTGACAGTCATGATATGGCTGCAGTACTGACTTAAAATAGTAACTCATTCACTATTTCACGTACATTGATTGCTGCTGTCACACCAACCTATTTGTAACACTATATATTTGAGCTCACTACTCGTCACAACATATGTCACAAACTCACTAACTACCAGAATTCACACTTTTGAGGGCCTCGTTGTCCCATCTTGTGCCAGCCGTGAATGAAATAGTGATTCAGTAATCGGTAAATTGCTCCTGAGACTAATCATTCTTTTCTCTGTCAAACTCAAATATGTCGTGAACACGGTTGCAGTTGATACATGAACAAATATCCGTATTATTTGAATCAAACTATTTCAAGCAACCTCTCAGAACAGGCTGGATTTCAGACGGCTTTCCCAGTATCTAGTTTATGATCATGGCCTTTTGTACATTATTTTCCAGATACAATTCATCAATGGAAGCACACATGGATCAGACAATTCCTGAGAGAATCTGCTTCTGGGGAGAGACTGAGCCTGATACGCCTGCCTTCATTTTCTGGAGCAAGGATGGCAGACATGTCTTGTCACGGGGAGAAGTCCTGGATCTGTCTAGTAGGTTTGCCTTCAGACTGACTGAACTTGGTGTTCAACCTGGAGATGTGGTGTGCATTGCTCTTCCCAACTGTCCAGAACGAGTCATCGTAAGCTTTGGTGTACAATTAGCTGGAGCTGTGGCTATGAACGGCCAAATTCTACGTTCTGATGGTCAAGATATTATTGAATCCATGCGAAAGGCGAACTGCAAAACTTTCGTCACTGATCCAAATCAGGAAAATGGGGCTTGGGGTATATGCAGTGGGTTTTTCGAGGTCGTATCGGATGGAGAGTACAGCTCTGAAATCAAATGTGTCAATGTGCCAAGTCTCACGAATGTGGTATATTGCAAAACAAAGAAACCAGAATGTGAGTTTCTCAGATCACTGCCTTCAAATAATAGGTATGTGAACAACAAGATGAAGCCGTCAGATGTTGTTCAAATATTCACAACATCAGGGAGTTCAGGATACACGAAGCTCGTCCAACATTCACACAAGGCCCTTCTGATGTTGGGAAAGATGTTCATTGAGATGATGGGTGAACATGGCAAATATGAGAATTCTGTTTACAATGCTGCTCCACTTGGTTGGGCTGGAGGATTCCCATATTTTTTCCTTCTAGCTGGTTGGCAACAGATTCTAATAAATGATTCTGTTGGGGTCCCCACAGACGATCTCCAGTTCGTATGGAACATCATCAGTCAGGAAGATATCAGAATAGCAATGCTTTCATCTTTCCAGATTACCGGCATTTGCAAAAGAAGAGACATATGGGAATCAAAAAATCACAAACTCTATCTAATCGGGACTGGTGGGCAGCCATTGAAGAAAGGAAGTCTTGAATCCATTGGGCAACTTACTGATGCTGTCTTTAACGGTTATGGCTCGACAGAAGTAGGGGTGGTCAGTTCCATTATTTTCAATGAGGAGAACATGTGTGATTTCAAGGAAAATATAGTAGGTTTTGCAGCGTCAGGCGTGGATGTAAAAGTTGTTGATTCAAGAATGGTTGAAGTTCAACCCAATGCTCATGGAGAAATCCTCATACGATCAGAGACTGTAACTAAAGGATATCTCGGAGACCCACATTTATCAACCCTACAAGATGGCTGGTTTCGAACAGGGGACCTGGGTTATAAAGACACCAGAGGATGTTTGTTTATTGAAGGCCGAAGTTCTGACGCCATCATGCACGGCCCCTACATCCTTTATCCAACATGGCTTGAGGAGAAGCTTGCCAAATGCCCTGGGATTAAGCAGAACTATATTGTTCCTATTCCCGACAAGGTTCTCCACCACGAGATATGTGCTTGTGTCCAACTGGAAGAGGGAGCCAAGACGACTCAAGATGACATCTTACACTTTGTGAAAGGGGAAGTTGGTGCAGGCATTTCAACAGCTATGAATGTTGTTCCAAAGTATGTTGAATTCTTTGACACGTTTCCTGTTCTGAACTCTTTCAAAATTGACCGAAAGCAGCTGGCGAAGCTTGCTATTGAAAGACTGCAACTGTAGCTGCTGTGTCAGAGCTGAAATTGTTTACAAGCGCTCCTAAAATGTCTTAGTATAATTACTCCAGAAACGATGTTATCATTACTCATATTGACTGTTGAGATATTAATCCATTGACTCACACCTTACTGCATCATTTTCAAAATTATGCCATAACACACCCTTATGTTATTTCATCATTTAATTCTAATCAGAACCTAGCCCATGCTTTTGCCTCAGAAGAATAGATACTGAGATTAACATGCTTGGGTTGCTTTCCACATATAAGGATCTGGTGTGTGGTTGGTTTGTTTATTACCGACTGACAGGCTGACTAGCATTGACCATCATGCAACCACTCTCTTTGTTACACACCTTCACATTTATAGCCACTAGAACACTTGAAATATCTTTCATCTATTGTACCAATTCTAAGAATCACTCCCAGAACACTTTAATTACCAAGGATACTCCATCGGCCCCATGTAATATAACTAAGAAATAGAACAAACGTTTGACTTTGTAGTGGAACATAGATATTGTTCTTATTTCTTTTAATAGTTTCCTCCGTATAGATTTTTTGCCAATGCCTTTCAGAGTGAGTGAATGAATTACGTTTTACGCCGCAGTATCTGGGTATCTTCTTTGAGTGGCATTTTAGAAGTTGGGAAGTACAATATAGAACAAGCAACGGTACAAGAATCTGTATCGAAACGTCGCACTCACGAATAAAAGAAGTTGTTATCCATAAAGTTTGTTCTATATTGTCTTTTGGTATGCCGAGATCGGGGATCGAACCCGCGACCTTCCGCTCTCCGGGCGGGCGTACGTTGGTAAAGCTTCATGTTTTTCTCTGAAAGATCATGTCTTGACTTTAAAGGAGACATACAGTAAAAATCTGAAATGAAATTATTGATAAATATATTGAAGAAAATATATTCATAAGTCAACATTTATAGCCAAAAACATAAAAAAACTACTCGTGTTCCGGAAACTACCGAGAGTTACCTTGAGACATTACAATCATCCACAAAAAAAAACGTCAACAGAACCGTTGAACACTTTCCATAAACTATTTATATGCTTAACAGTATTACCGATAAAATGCTACCTTGTGGGACACCATGATCTTGATCATGAATATCTGACAATGTGGATCCCTCACGAACCTGAAAATGCCCATTTGTTACATCATATGCTTTTTGTATCGGCAACTGATCGTACAACACCTGGAGATCAGATTGTTGAAGAAGAAGGAATATACAAAGAGCAAAATGTAAACGCAGTGTGCAATGTAAGTCTAACAGTAGCAGGTTGATGAATCACCTCCAGTGACACATGGATGGGGATCACTAACAACCCCACTACGACTGAAGAACCTACAGTGGCCCTAACTCCAGAGGCGAAAAACAATGGTATGGGCTGTTATGACGTAAGTTACTTTTATTTGTCCCTTTTATATACGTTTCTTGCAGACAAAATGATGATGGGTAAAATGCTTGGACCAATAACAGTAAAAACTGTTTTAAACCCCCTGAGACTTCTATCTCTTCGGATGTTTCAAACTTGTTATACAGCTTGATGGGATCATCGGATACTTGAGGTTGTTTCGTACAAGAAGATGTTGTGTCCGTTTTGTACCTTGTTTTAACATGTTTCCCTTTTCCAGATTATGCTTTTGGTGAATAAACTGTGTTAGAGTCACAGAAGGTGAAGACTCAGAGGTCTGTGTGGCTGGAAATTGACCAGCAGTCTGCGTAGCAGATTCAGATGGTAAAATGTTGTTAGGGTTGATTAAATTCACACATGTCAAATCTGAATGACATTAAACTGGCACTGTCCGTGTTGACATTGTGGGTATTTTTGCCTCAGTATGTTCATATATTCCCTGTAGGGAATGTTTCTTGCGCTTTTATTTGTTGATTTCCATCTCTCTTTTCCGGAGAGGACAAGATTTACTGGATGAAGTATGAGATGCGGGACAGATCTTATAAATTTTGTAATCACTGGTACATTCTCTTGTGACACGGGTGGTTTCGATACAGTGTGCACATGTGATATCCTTGTTGCAGGAATTGACATTGATTTCGGACATTCAAACCGCTCAGCGGTTTTAAATTTCAACATCTATTTTATATATCCTACTGATTTGTAGGAAATGAAAAGGAAAAGAGGAACGTGTTTGTGTTGATTGTTGTAATACCTTTACGTCTGGTACACCTTTTCACAAATGAAACTCCTTGCTCTCTCATTTCAGAAACAATAACCAGTTTTGATATATCTACAGTGAGTCTATCCCGATCTTAATGATGTTCCGCTGCTAGTATTGAGGGCTCTGGCAACATATATGTTAACAAAGACTCCAAGTTCATCAACGGACATCAAGTTTGGTGGTTGTTGTGACCCATACAATAACAATTGATCTTGTTCTCAACCTGAATACATGATACGTTTTATTGATAACAACTTCTTGTAATTCTTAAACCAAGGTTTCAGAGTTAATTCCTTAAACAAACTTAAAGGATTTACACGTGTTGGTCGAGGAATTTCCTTCAAGACTTCTGTTCTCATATTTTTAACATTTTTCACTATTAAATGAATGCCCCAAGTTAGTTTTGCAAAAGGGTTCAGAAAAAATTGAGGCATTGTCGGGTGTTACCACCACAAGGAAATTTGACCGGTACTTTGGAATTGCGTTTTACATCCTCAGTCTCAGGATAATTTGCATGAGTTCGTTTTGGGTTATTAGGGGGTTTGGAAAGCTTAAAACCATATCGGTATGAGTAAATAGAAGCGGCAAAACCCTTTCCATATTCATAAGAAGTCTCTGCTAAATTATGACTGTATCATGAGTATGTATGTGTTTCAGCAGTATTACAGCTGGATAATATTATTTATAAGCATATCGCGTCTGGACCAGACACTCCAGTGATTGTCACCATGCGATACGATGACAGAGCATGTGTTTATGAATCACTATGAAATAGTGATGGTACCAGGTGTTTGCGGAAAGGTGAATGTATCTTGCCCCACCGGTGGCACCCGCCATAAACATTTGCTATGTCTAGTCATCTGTTCACCCCCCGAAATAATTCGAGACCCAATACTGCCGCTGTTACAGGTCACTGGCTCCCTCCCTCTGCAAGCAGTTTGAGTTCTGCTGTTTATTTTGTTGACAGTTACATAGACAGATTCTTTAATACAAATGCATAAAATCGGTGATTTACAATGTGCTTAGGTTGTCTGACAAAACATCCACTTGCACAGTTTGAGATCGATTGGGTCATTGGATGAAGAGATATTTACAAAAAAACGGGTCCACATGCATTTCATGCCAAACTATATATTGTTCCCGTTCCCGACAAGGTTCTCCACCACGACATATGTGATTGTGTCCAACTGGAAGAGGGAGCCAAGCTGACTCAAGATGACATCATAAACTTTGTGAAAGGGGAAGTTGGTGCAGGCATTTCATCAGCTATGAATGTTGTTCCAAAGTATGTTGAATTCTTTGACACATTTCCTGTCCTGAACGCATTCAAAGTTGACCGAAAAACGCTGGCAAAGCTAGCTCGGGAAAGACTGCAATTATAGCTGTCGTATCAGATTTGATCTGTAGTATAAATACCCCAGAAACGCAGTTTGCATTACTCACATTGGCTGTTGAGATATTAATTCATTGACTCAAATGTCACTGCATCATTGTCCAAACTATTCATTAACAGTCCCTTATGTTATTCCATCATTTAATGTCATCAGGACGTACTCCATGTGCATACCTCAGAAGAATAGAAACTGAGATTCACATGCTGGTGAATCTGGTATGTGACTGGTCTCTTTATACAGATTGACAGGCTGGTATAGTGCTGACTGGCATTGACCATCATGCAACCACTCTCCTTGCTCCACGCCTTCTCATTTATCATGAATTATGAGTGTAGGTTTACGTGTCTAAAACACTTGAGATATCCTTCAGCTATTGTACAAATTCGAAAGGTCAGTTCCAGAAAACTTTAACAAGTGTAATCCATGTAATACGACTACCAAATGGAACAAATATTTGACTTTGCAGCAGGAACATATATATTCTCCTTCTTGTTTCCATTTAGTTTAGTGCCAGTTCCTTTACAAGTCGAGAGTGAGTGAGTATGGCTTTACAACCCTTTTGGCAATATTCCTACAATATCACGGCGCGGGACATCAGAAATGGGCTTCACACATTGTACCCATGTTGGGAACAAATCGAGAAGTGAAGTATATGCAGCGAGACCTTACAGGAACTGGAGAGTAGAAGGCTTTTTGAAAACTACTATGGATATTAAGATTTACCATAACATTGTAAATGCTTCTTTATAGTTCAGTAGCCCAGGAACAATGTAATATTTCTGTAGTAGACATTGTATACACATTAAACCACTGTCTTTGTGTCAACAACGGAATCTTAAGTTTGTTATTTGTTGCTTCAAACACACATGTATAATCATATATCACCAGTGCGTTAAATTTGGAAACCATGAATCGTTTTGAATGCTTTGCTGAAGCTTCGTACAAAGTTCTCTTCGCAAACAATTTCCGAACCCGAATCGAATGAAACGTGTTTAAAATAGAAAAAGGTAGAAACGGCATTAATTCCTTATAGCAGTCCCACATACTCACCTTTACACCGGCTGTTTACTACGTTATCTAATACCGGCCTTGTACCGTTTGGAGTTAGGTCAGCAACCCATGGAAACGGACGGTGGAGTTAGGTCAGCAACCCATGGAAACGGGTGGTGGAGTTAGGTCAGCAACCCATGGAAACGGGTGGTGGAGTTAGGTCAGCAACCCATGGAAACGGGTGGTGGAGTTAGGTCAGCAACCCATGGAAACGGATGGTGGAGTTAGGTCAGCAACCTATGGAAACGGGTGGTGGAGTTAGGTCAGCAACCCATGGAAACGGATGGTGGAGTTAGGTCAGCAACCTATGGAAACGGGTGGTGGAGTTAGGTCAGCAACCTATGGAAACGGGTGGTGGAGTAAGGTCAGCAACCCATGGAAACGGGTGGTGGAGTTAGGTCAGCAACCCATGGAAACGGGTGGTAGAGTTAGGTCAGCAACCCATGGAAACGGGTGGTTGAGTTAGGTCAGCAACCCATGGAAACGGGTGGTGGAGTTAGGTCAGCAGCCCATGGAAACGGATGGTGGAGTTAGGTCAGCAACCTATGGAAACGGGTGGTGGAGTTAGGTCAGCAACCTATGGAAACGGGTGGTGGAGTTAG